ATAAGCAACACTTGTATTAAAAATAGAACTTTGTCTAGAAGATGTCTCAGAAATATTCAGCTTGGGACTCAAGACTGAACTTTTAGAAGTTTGCTTTGAAAAGACATAATTACAATTAACTTTTGAGTAAAATATTGAACTAGATCTAGGGCTGGCACTTTTCTCAAAAACTTTCTTTTTGCCTTCTGCGATTTCCTTCCTCTTTTTCCTCCACTCATTCTTCTCTTCTCCTTCCTTATTCACTTCATTCCCTGTAAACAAAGGAGAAGAGAGATGAGTGGACGAACCTTTAAAAGCATTGTTTTTCTCATGTGAGGTGTGTGAGCTGTCAGGCTTGGTCATAGAAGGGTCTGTTTTAGCATGAAACTGTTCACTCAAATCATTAAATTTTTGGAGAAGTTCCTGCCAGTTGCGCTCAAAACCTTTCTTTTCAGTTTCAAATCTCTCTCTCTCGTTATCAAGAGTTTTCTGTAGGTTTTTGAGCTTTTGAGCCATGGGAAAAATACATGGTTCCTCGCCAGTTTTAGCAATACCAACTCTTGGAGGAGGATCTAGAGGATGTCCTATGTGAGGAATATCTTTAGCATAGGGATCGAGGCATTCACTAAAGCAGGAAGTAGGTTTTTCTTCTGAAAGTTGTTTTTCATTTACAGAGGGATAATCACAAGAAATCGCAGGTTTTGGTTTCTTTCTCTTTTCTTCTTCTGCTTCAGCATAATCTTCATCACTTCGAAAATACATTTTCTCGCCAAACCCTAGTCCCATGTAATCTTTGTTATAGAATTGAAGGCAATTTACTTTCTTAAGATTACGCGGGTTGGTTATGCCCAGACCTGTTTTAGCATTGTAGAATCGGTCATCCTTTTGTTTGTTGTTAAGCAGAAAAACAGTTTGTTCAGATTGACCTCTTCTAGCAGCTAGATCTTCTAGTTCTTTTACTTTATTTAAAAGCGTTCTTCTTTTGTTATGCAAAAAATTGCATTCAGCCTTTGCTGTGCTTTTTTCCCGTTCACTGTCCTCAAATTTCTTAGTTAATTCAGCTATCTTAAGTTCAAAGCTTTCAAAATCTGAAGACACTTTTTTGACTTGATCTTTTGCAATTTCAAGTTGAATACTTAAGGAAGACTTTTGGTCTAGATTCTGTTTCAGAACTCTATGATTATTGTCTAGTCTCTCCTTTAGTTCTTTGATTAGATTGTCCTTTTCAAGTAAGGACTGCATTTGATTATTTAAAGAAGTATGGGAGGTACTTACAGAGCTTGTTGAGCACTTGCTTTCGGGGATCGCAGCATCACCCTTTATTTCATCTCCCTCCACATTTGCCATAAGAGCATAGTTGTCTTCCTCTTCCTCCTCCTCAGAAGAATCTTCTGCCCAGTTCTCATTTTCAGCAATCATGGCAGAGGTTTCTTCTTCTTTCTGCACCATCAGCATTTTCTGCTTATTCCACAGCATCTTCTGCTTGTAGAAGTTAGCATCTTTCTTCTTTGGGAGGCGGCAGTCTTTGATCACATGTCCAGGTTTGCCGCAATTGTAGCATTTAGGAGCTTCTTCTGCCGATGATGCCTTTCTAGAAGATCCTTGATCATGGTTCTTCTGCTTGTAGTTTGAGGAGGAAGTTCTCAGTCTGTTGGAGGAAGTGTTCTTCTTTGCAAATCTTTTGGCCAGCATTGCCATCTTCTTCTGTAAGTCTGCTAGCTCAGCCTCTAGATCAGATTTGTCATCGTCACTTTCATCATCATCTGATTCAACCACCACCTTCTTCTTTTTCTTCTTTAGTGAAGTGGTTGTCCTTCTAGGCTGAGCATCCATTACAAGAGCTAAGGGGTTTGTGGTGTGATGATCCTCAGCGCATGCAACTTCGTTGACAAATTGCTTCAGATGTTCATAGAGTGTGCAGAGGTCAATTTCGTCCAGATCTATCCGTGATCTGACATCCTTCACTGTCTTTTCCCAAGCAGGATGCAGGCTGGATAAGAATCTAATATTTAGTTCCAGATTGGACCTGAATACTTTGATCTTTCTGAGTTCATTTACCAGTTGAACAAGTCTATTGTAAGTCTCATTCAATGGTTCTCCTGGTCCTGCTTTGAAGGAGTCATAAGCGATGAGAATTGTAGTCTTCTTTGTTTTGAGGCTGATGCTTGTGCCTTGTAGCAGCTTCTCTATTTCATCCCACATCTCCTTAGCTGTCTGCATGCTATCTATGAGAACATAAACCTCGTTCGGTATTGCTTGAAGGAGATACGTTTTGGCCATAAGATCACCACGAAGTCTGAGCTTGTCGGCTTCTGTGTATTCAGATGGAACTTTTCTCCTTATTTCTGGAAAAATAGGAGGATTGTTCTCTGATCTCCACCAACTGAAATCAAGAGTTCAGCTGGTCCTTCAAGCAAAGATTCGAGCATTGCAGAAGAGTTTTCTTTGTGCTCGAGGAAGTTTAGAAATCTGTTCCTCCACATTTGGTATTCTCCCTTCCTGAGGCTAGGAGGGGTACTGCTGTTCCCTTGTGCATTGTATTCTGAACCCATTGCTGTACTAAACTGACCGTTCGAGAAAATTGATCAAAAGATTTTCAGAGGCAGAATCTCGAAAAATCAGATGTCGAGATCTGAATATCGAAATCTCAGATTTCGATAAAGGAGGCCCGGTATCGAGATTTGGGCTCGAGATTAAGGATCTCGAGATTTGGGATCTCGAGATTTCAAATTCGAGATGCTGATCTCGAGATTTGAAATGTCGAGAAGTTAATCTCTCGAAATCTTAATCTGATGAGTCAAATGTCGAGACCAGATGTCGAAACCTTTTCTCGAAATCAAGATTTCGAAATCCAAGATGTCGAAATCCTCAATGTCGAAATCTTTCAACCTGTAAAAATCAGATAATCAAAATCTGAAGATAGTTTCCTGTAGAGTTGAATGTCGAGATCTTCTGGTAAAGTTTTCAGCTCGAAAAACGTAGCAGAACCTGGGAAGAAATAGGATGTCGAGATGCCTAGCTCGAGATATCTCGAAATAAAAAATTGCGTAAAACACAAACTGAAGTATACCCTTTGATCTCTTTGAAACGGCGATTCCAAAGGTGTAACTTTTACAACTTTTGAACAAGAAACAAAATTACAGAGCAAAAAAATCGACAGAATGAACTACGTTAACAAAAACAGAGTATTCTGCAGGAGTTCTTCTGATCGTTCTCGATCGGCTCTGATACCAATTGTTAGTCCCTGTTTCTGTAACAGCAATGAATAATCGATCTAACAAGGAAGATTAATGGTAAGGATGAATACAGAATGAATCACCGTAAAACCTTCTTTGATAAACCGTGGAACGTACAGCAGAATGATATAAGCTTAAGGCTATGAATAATAAGTACGACGTTCAACCTTTTCCTAAACCTCGGCTCCCTTTTTATAGGCGAGGTTTAGGTTAGGCGTAACAGGCTTTTGGCCTGTTTAAATGGGCCTAACACTTGGCCTGATTTCTATCTAATTTATGCACTATTTAAATACAATGATTAAATATAAAGCTAATCTATGACCAACTTGATTCACAATAAAATATCTCCAACACCTTTGCACCCAACCAATCTAATTCGTCTGTCAAAATCAACGAATCTAGGGTATAAGAATCCCAAGAGAAAGAAGATTCTCGATTCATGGAAAATAGTAGTTGTTTATCTTGTAGCTTTCAACCTTTGTAAGTAAAAAATGTTGTTTAGAAATATAAGAATCCCAAGAGAACTTATTTGCGTGTGGTCAATCTCTCTACCGTAAACCTTTCTATCATTTTGGATGGCATGTATATTCTAGTCATTTTACAGTCCTATCTTGCATGGTCCTTTGATATGTGGTTCGTAAAAGTATCTTGTAGTAAGCTCAACCAAGTTTTGATGTGCATTTCATTTTGCATGTATCTGAAGAGATGTTTGTTTTTTCTGCAGTTCGGCTATGAAGTTCCATACCGTGACCTTCCAATCATTGATCAGCATGCACTATTTCAGCTTTCCTCCATTGTGAAAAGCATGAAAGAAAGCTATGACAATTATCAGTTTTATAAGATTTATCAGGTAACAAACAAAAGCAGCCAGAGAACTATAATTATCCTGTTGCTTTCTTATGACTTAACTTATTTTTAATCCGTGTAGATTGTTCAACGTTTTTCCATTGTTGATCTCTCCAACTTTTACTTTGATGTAGCAACATATCGACTTTATGTTGGGTGAGTTCTGAAATATTATGAACACTTACGAACTGTGTCTGTTGTATGATTTAGCATATATTTACCAAGGTCCTTTAATGGAATGTTCGAAATAAATAACTAGTGAACTAATAAGTAAGAAATGTTAAGTGGTTGCTTGATCAGATTTCTACTTCGAGAATTAGTTTTCACCTAATGGACTAGCTAGTAGCTTGCTTCTTTGTAAATCCTAAACACTCCATATTATGCGTCCAAAAGGTTTGTTCTTCTGAGGATGACATGTTTTCTTCTTTTTTTGTGGTTGCTTATCAAATTTGCATACTTGATTAAATCGTTAATTTGCAGTGGGAGTAGTAGTTTTGCAAGAAGAAGTTGTCAAACTGTTCTTGCTACTCATTTTCTTTCAATTACACGGATAATTGCTCCAATTTTACCCCATCTGGCTGAGGATGTCTGGAAGCATCTTCCTTTCCCGATAATACTGAAGATGGAAATGTTGCCAAGTTTGTCTTCGAGTCAGGCTGGCCAGTAACAAATGAGAAACATCTTTCCTTCCCAGTAGAAGACATCGATGTCTGGGCCAAAGTTCTTGAGGTACCACTTTATAATCTTTATATGTGACCGATAGAAGTGTTATGAAACAGCATTGCAGATTATGATTGTCTTTTGATTAAATGTGTTATCGAGATCCAATGTGGGGGTGAGGGGGGTCAAAATCAAATAGCTTACAACTGTTGATGGGATTTACCTTAGATATGTATTACTAGTATTATACTAAGTTAATTGAACTACCTTTATTATCAGCTGAGAACTGAAGTGAACAAAGCACTCGAAGTTGCACGTGCTGGGAAGTTGATCGGTGCCAGTTTAGAGGCAATGGTCTATCTGCACACTTCGGATACCACACTTGCTGTACGGTTAAAGGAAGCAGCACATGAACCCAAAAATGATGCTGATGCATTGCATCGGATCTTTATAACATCCCAGGTACTAACTGTGGCCTCCTCTGATGGGATCTTTTCACTGGACCTATCAATTGATAATCAATTAAACATATGAGGTGCTTCTATTTTAAATAAAAAAGAATAAAAAAATATTTTGGTAGTATGGAAGTTTATTAGAAGACACCAGTTTGTTTAGTATTAAAAAATGGGAAATGGCACAAATATACCCCTATACTATGTGTGTGAGAACATATATACCCCTGTTCTATTTTTTGGAACAAAAAAAACTCCTTAACTTGAAAGTGGGTCTAAAACTACCCTTCTTTAACGTTCCTCACTACAAACTAACATATTCCGTGATTTCCGTCAGCCACTTCATCATTTGACATTGTTCTTCCTTATAGCTTGTTCACTAAGGATCGGAAACCTGAGAGACCATATTAGGATCATCAAAAATAGTTGCCTGATGTACAGAAGAACCCGCTGATATCAGTGTTTCACTTTGGATACCAGGCTACACAATAACACAAATGAAGAAAAAAATATACTGTAATAACCAAGTTCAATATGCATAACATGTGAATAAGAAATAAATTCAATATCTCGTAAACATACATCAGTACACAATTTTAAATGGTGAAATTGGGAGTTTGTCTTCCATAAAGAATATCAACAAATAACCCAAATCCAGTTATCTTACTTGTTGGTCTCAACAATGGTGAAAAATTTCTAGCAACTTTGTGGCACCTAAATCTGGAAGGTTAAAATTTCTGACCAATCTGTAGAAACAATGTCCTCTTGAACCCAAATATCTCTGAAAAAGTGCAGAAATACAAGGGTTGTGAAATAGTTACAACGTGTGTATTGCCCTTGGTATCTTTTGGTTGTTGGATGTTTTGTTTACTGGGCCGAAATTTAAACAACAAAAACAGGTCTTTGCGGGTAATCTGGTAACAAACACCAACAAAACCCACCGGAAAGACATGAGTAATCACAGTCAAACACATACCAGCATCATTATCTTTTACTCCATTTCATTATTCAAAAGTTATGTCCAATTCGTTGCTCTGCCTGAGTAATTGAAGTCGCCTCCCTGTGTGCTTCGTTTCTTCATCCTTGGTTCAAGCCATTTTTTTCTCTGCTCTGTCACAAGGGTTTTCTTTAGGCCAATGGAATGTATGTTAGTTGTAGTGAGGAAACGTTAAGGACGGGTAAATTTAGACCCACTTTCAACTTTTAGAGTTTTTTTGTTCCAAATAATAGAATAAGGGTATATTTCTTCTCACACATATAGTACACGGGTATATCTGTTCCATTTCCTATTAAAAAATCATGAACATATTTTCAAAAATTGTGGTTGGCAGGTGGAGGTCCTTTCATCCTTGGAAGATGAACAGATTGAAGGAATACCATACACAGGAGAGTATGCTATTCAAGGAGGAAGTAAAGTCTGGATTGGCGTGTCCCGGGCAAAGGGAGAGAAATGTGAAAGATGCTGGAACTATTCACCTCAAGTTGGTTCCTTTGATGATCATCCTTCACTTTGCAGCCGATGTCATGATGTCGTCACCAAATAGGCATCTCCCTGTGCTGAGTACACGGCAGAGGAAGTTACACAAGCCCTAGTGCAATGAACATGAGTGATATGGGGATTATACTGTGCTTCACAACGAAGCCCGTTTGCAATTTTTTACTCCGTATTATTTTGGAAGCAGAAAAACTCTTGTCCCAATTTTGACTTATGTAGTCTTACAATGTTATATGTGGTCACTAACCTAATAATGACCTCAATTGTTGAAATTCCTCTTAACAAAATTGTCACCAGTCCAGGTAAATAGTTTGGTTGACGAATTACTTTTAAAAAACATACTCCGTACTTTATTTCATGAGTACTGATGGAGCGAGGAATCTGTGTGTTTTACCTATGAGTCTAAGACTAATTTGGATTTTAGCATAAAACAAGCCATTTGGGCAATAAGTCACACTTATAACATATGATGCAGTCCCAAACATTGGAATGAGTTAGATTAGTCAAATATAAAGATACAGAGTGATATAAGGCGTTGAGTGACTCGTCCTATCACTTCTACTTTTTAAACGTATGACTATTTTCTTGTGTTTGTTAGTACCCGTGTGTTATCCATGTACAGATAGTTAAATTTGATGCAGAAGGTTCTTCCACCAATCTTTAGCAGAAACCAATCACCTTTATTTCTCTACAATCTTGACTTCATTTATATATTTTCATTTTCAGGTACACCCATCCCATAGACAACCGAGAGTGTCCTGTACTCCTGTTGTCATTGGTGGTGACTATATTACTACCGAGTCAGGAACAGGGCTAGTTCATACAGCACCTGGCCATGGTCAGGAAGATTACATTACTGGCCTCAAATATGGCTTGCCAATACTTTCACCGGTAGATGATGATGGAAAATTTAATGAAGAAGCAGGACCATTCAGCGGCCTTGACGTGCTTGGGAATGGGAACACTGCTGTGATTCAATACTTGGACGAACATCACTCAATGATCCTGATGGAGCCGTATAGTGAGTTATATCCTGTTTTAACAACGTAGATTAAGTTCATTTATAGAGGGTTTTGTAATTAAATTTCCTCTATAAATTTCTAAGAAATACCTGTACAGAACACAAGTATGCATATGACTGGAGAGATAAGAAGCCTACAATAATCCGGGAAACTGAGCAATGGTTTGCCTCTGTGGAAGGATTTCGAGAAGCTGCAATAGATGCAGTCAAGGGAGTTAATTGGGTACCGCCACAGGTATTTGACTGTACACCATTGACTTCTGTAAAATGTCAATTAACGCATTCTACTATGTATTAGTTTAATGGTGGACTGTCATTTGTCACTATTTCCATTTGTGTGTGAAAAAGTTATCATGAGTGTTCATTTTCAGACCTATGGATGTATGGGTTGCATATTGTTAGTATTCTCTTCTTAGGATTTAACAACTAGTTTTGGTTAATCATAGATTTGGGTTTTAACGTGTAGATTTTACTTAATCTCATCCGTATTCGATATTTTTCTGAACATCGTGACTATTTTTATTTCCAGGCGGTGAATCGTATTTCTGCAATGATTTCTAGCCGCTATGATTGGTGTATATCCCGGAAAAGGACATGGTGTGTTCCCATTCCTGTATTTTATCACCTGGCATCGAAGAAGCCACTTCTAAAAGAAGAAACAATCAACCACATTAGATGTAAAACTCTTCCTGCCACGATTTACGTGTATTTTATCTTTAAAACTTGAGTAATGGAAATGTAGTTACTATTTTGAATCATTAATTTGATATAAGATCTCCTTAGATAAAGCGTATAACTATATTTGTTGTATTGTTTTGCAATAGTGCTCAAAAGCATAGATTTTTTTTAGGCTTGAGAAAGTGATATGTGCTATTGAAACATGAAAATATATTGAAATTTTAATTATATATTTTTCAGCGATCATTTCTCAAAAGGGTAGCGATGCATGGTGGCATATGACGGTCGAGGATTTACTTCCTGATAACTATCGTGACAGAGCATCAGAATACAAGAAAGGGACAGATACAATGGATGTTTGGTTTGACTCAGGTATTATGAGTCTTAGTCCAATGTTATCTTTATTCATCAACCCTCTTCACCAGTGATGCAAACCTTTTTTCCCCCTCAGGCTCTTCATGGGCTGCTGTGCTGGAAAAGAGGAGTGACCTTCAATACCCTGCAGATCTGTATCTTGAGGGAACAGATCAGCATCATGGTTGGTTTCAGAGCTCTTTGCTGACAAGCATTGCAAACAAAGGTCACATGATAATAGTGTTTTCACTTGCTTCCATCATGTATCATTTCTTTATAGATATGAACGGTTTTATACACTTTTTGCTGCTTGTATAGGTTTCTGTCCGTTCTTCTTCCATGTATTAATTTTCATAGTGGTTCTATATCACACACAGTTAGACTTCATATTGCTTTTCCCAAGATAACTTATGTTCTCATGATCAATAAAAAGCATTACAGGAAAAGCCTCTTATTCTGGCGTCATTACACATGGATTTGTCCTGGATGAGAAAGGGCTCAAGATGAGTAAATCTTTGGGCAATGTTGTTGATCCCATAACTGTAATTGAAGGAGAGAAAAACGAAAAGGTAGGTTTGTCATTAGTTGGTAAATGGGCTTTAAACAATCTCAGTTCCTCGATTGTAATTTGCAGGTTTTTTTACACCTCATATTTGACAGGAAGCAGCACCCTATGGTGCTGATGTTTTGAGACTATGGGTTTCAAGTGTTGATTATACCGGAGATGTATTGATGGGCCCTCAAGTCCTCCGTCAAATGTCTGAAATGTACCGGAAATTGCGAGGAACTTTGCGGTTTCTCTTGGCAAATCTCCATGACTGGAATGTAAGCATGATAATCTGAGAAAGGAGAAAGAAGTTTCTCATTTTTCATTTTTCATTTTCATTTACCCCAGTGCCGCAAAGGCTCCCACCTACAGTGGGGTAAGGGGGGTCGGATGTACGCAGTCTTACCCCTGTATTAAAGCACAGAGAGACTGTTTCCGGATGACCCATAGTGAAAATCCCGTCCAAAATTGCATGGACTGACTGCTGCTTCATAACAAAGAAGCGCAGACAGTTTAGTGAGCCATTTTGCTTTATTCCATCATAATCTCAAGCCAAATTATAATAAATCTTTGGCTCCATTGCAAATGATGGAAAAATTGATACTGTAATAAATATTACTCCCTCTGTCCCGAAATAAATGTCCCAGATTCCTTTTCGGTCCGTCCCGAAATAATTGTCCCGTTTCTATTTTAGGCAACCTAATACTCCAATACTCCCTAAAATACCCTCACCCACAAATACCCATCATTTCATCCTTATACGGAGTACCTCTCTCCTCTCTCCCACTTTACCCGTCGCTTCTCCTTTCCTCTCGTCTGACCCTTCATCTCTCATCTCACCTTCCTCAAGCCAACCGCTCATCTCACTCTGTGTAACCCTTGAGAAAAATCATCTGAATTCTCCCTCGAACCTTCAGGTGTGACTGAATACGAAATCTGTCCAAACCCTAATCTTCATCTGTACGACACTTGTCAGGTTTTTGAGGCTTCATCTCCGACCTCCGTCACTGTCATATCCATGGACTCATATGAGCCAAAGGTTTGCTCCGTCGTTGCCGATACTTCTGATGATTTGTTCATGCAACCCTTTGCACCCAACCAATCTATTTCGTCTGTCAAAATCAACGAATCTAGGGTATAAGAATCCCAAGAGAAAGAAGTTTCTCGATTCATGGAAAATAGTAGTTGTTTATCTTGTAGCTTTCAACCTTTGTAAGTAAAAAATGTTGTTTAGAAATATAAGATTCCCAATGAACTTTTTTGTGTGTGGTCATTCTCTCTACCGTAAACCTTTCTATCATTTTGGATGGCATGTATATTCTAGTCATTTTACAGTCCTATCTTGCATGGTCCTTTGATATGTGGTTCGTAAAAGTATCTTGTAGTAAGCTCAACCAAGTTTTGATGTGCATTTCATTTTGCATGTATCTGAAGAGATGTTTGTTTTTTCTGCAGTTCGGCTATGAAGTTCCATACCGTGACCTTCCAATCATTGATCAGCATGCACTATTTCAGCTTTCCTCCATTGTGAAAAGCATGAAAGAAAGCTATGACAATTATCAGTTTTATAAGATTTATCAGGTAACAAACAAAAGCAGCCAGAGAACTATAATTATCCTATTGCTTTCTTATGACTTAACTTATTTTTAATCCGTGTAGATTGTTCAACGCTTTGTCATTGTTGATCTCTCCAACTTTTACTTTGATGTAGCAACAGATCGACTTTATGTTGGGTGAGTTCTGAAATATTATGAACACTTATGAACTATGTCTGTTGTATGATTTAGCATATATTTACCAAGGTCCTTTAATGGAATGTTCGAAAGAAATAACTAGTGAACTAATAAGTAAGAAATGTTAAGTGGTTGCTTGATCAGATTTCTACTTCGAGAATTGGTTTTCACCTAATGGACTAGCTAGTAGCTTGCTTCTTTGTAAATCCTAAACACTCCATATTATGCGTCCAAAAGGTTTGTTCTTCTGTGGATGACATGTTTTCTTCTTCTTTTGTGGTTGCTTATAAAATTTGCATACTTGTTTAAATCGTTAATTTGCAGTGGGAGTAGTAGTTTTGCAAGAAGAAGTTGTCAAACTGTTCTTGCTACTCATTTACTTTCAATAACACGGATAATTGCTCCAATTTTACCCCATCTGGCTGAGGATGTCTGGCAGCATCTTCCTTTCCCGTATAATACTGAAGATGGAAATGTTGCCAAGTTTGTCTTCGAGTCAGGCTGGCCAGTAACAAATGAGAAACATCTTTCCTTCCCAGGGGAAGACATCGATTTCTGGGGCAAAGTTCTTGAGATACCACTTTATAATCTTTATATGTGACCGATAGAAGTGTTATGAAACAGCATTGCAGATTATGATTGTCTTTTGATTAAATGTGTTATCGAGATCCAATGTGGGGGTGAGGGGGGTCAAAATCAAATAGCTTACAACTGTTGATGGGATTTACCTTAGATATGTATTACTAGTATTATACTATGTTATTTGAACTACCTTTATTATCAGCTGGGAACTGAAGTGAACAAAGCACTCGAAGTTGCACGTGCTGGGAAGTTGATCGGTGCCAGTTTGGAGGCAATGGTCTATCTGCACACTTCGGATACCACACTTGCTGTACGGTTAAAGGAAGCAGCACATGAACCCAAAAATGATGCTGATGCATTGCATCAGATCTTTATAACATCCCAGGTACTCACTGTGGCCTCCTCTGCTGGGATCTTTTCACTGGACCTATCAATTGATAATCAATTAAACATATGAGGTGCTTCTATTTTAAATAAAAAAGAATAAAAAAATATTTTGGTAGTATGGGAGTTTATTAGAAGACACCAGTTTGTTTAGTATTAAAAAATGGGAAATGGCACAAATATACCCCTATACCATGTGTGTGAGAACATATATACCCCTGTTCTATTTTTTGGAACAAAAAAACTCCTTAACTTGAAAGTGGGTCTAAAAACCCCTTCTTTAACGTTCCTCACTACAAACTAACATATTCCGTGATTTCCGTCAGCCACTTCATCATTTGACATTGTTCTTCCTTATAGCTTGTTCACTAAGGATCGGAAGCCTTAGAGACCATATTAGGATCATCAAAAATAGTTGCCTGATGTACAGAAGAACCCGCTGATATCAATGTTTCACTTTGGATACCAGGCTAAACAATAACACAAATGAAGAAAAAAATATACTGTAATAACCAAGTTCAATATGCATAACATGTGAATAAGAAATAAATTCAATATCTCGTAAACATACATCAGTACACAATTTTAAATGGTGAAATTGGGAGTTTGTCTTCCATAAAGAATATCAACAAATAACCCAAATCCAGTTATCTCACTTGTTGGTCTCATCAATGGTGAAAAATTTCTAGCAACTCTGTGGCACCTAAATCTGGAAGGTTAAAATTTCTGACCAATCTGTAGAATCAATGTCCTCTTGAACCCAAATATCTTTGAAAAAGTGCAGAAATACAAGGGTTGTGAAATAGTTACAACGTGTGTATTGCCCTTGGTATCTTTTGGTTGTTGGATGTTTTGTTTACTGGGCCGAAATTTAAACAACAAAAGCAGGTCTTTGCGGGTAATCTGGTAACAAACACCAACAAAACCCACCGGAAAGACATGAGTAATCACAGTCAAACACATACCAGCATCATTATCTTTTACTCCATTTCATTATTCAAAAGTTATATCCAATTCGTTGCCCTGCCTGAGTAATTGAAGTCGCCTCCCTGTGTGCTTAGTTTCTTCATCCTTGGTTCAAGCCATTTTTTTCTCTGCTCTGTCACAAGGGTTTTCTTTAGGCCAATGGAATGTATGTTAATTGTAGTGAGGAAACGTTAAGGACGGGTAAATTTAGACCCACTTTCAACTTTTAGAGTTTTTTTGTTCCAAATAATAGAATAAGGGTATATTTCTTCTCACACATGTAGTACACGGGTATATCTGTTCCATTTCCTATTAAAAAATCATGAACACATTTTCAAAAATTGTATTTGGCAGGTGAAGGTCCTTTCATCCTTGGAAGATGAACAGATTGGAGGAATACCATACACAGGAGAGTATGTTATTCAAGGAGGAAGTAAAGTCCGGATTGGCGTGTCCCGGGCAAAGGGAGAGAAATGTGAAAGATGCTGGAACTATTCACCTCAAGTTGGTTCCTTTGATGATCATCCTTCACATTGCAGCCGATGTCATGATGTCGTCACCAAATAGGCATCTCCCTGTGCTGAGTACACGGCAGAGGAAGTTACACAAGCCCTAGTGCAATGAATATGAGTGATATGGGGATTATACTGTGCTTCACAACGAAGCCCTTTTGCAATTTTTTACTCCGTATTATTTAGGAAGCAGAAAAACTCTTGTCCCAATTTTGGTATATGCAAACTGTTTTCTCAGAATCATGGGAAAATAACATTTAATATTATACAACCTTTTTTTTATTGTTTTTCATATGCAGTATAATGAGGAGTATGTATCAAAGAGCTTGTATACCATTTTCAGATTAGTCGATGCTCCACCCGCTTCTGAATATTTGAAGGAATTCATTCCTAATTTGTATTTGGCAATTTGGACAACTACACCCTGGACATTTCCAGCCAATGCAGGTAAGTGACTTTAAATGTCTAGTACCCCTCTCCCCGAATTGGTTATTCTGTAATCTTTCTTCATGTTGTTTCAGCTGTTGCACTGAATGCTAAACTTCAGTATGCCATGGTTGAAGTTCAATCAGTGACAGTGGTCAATTCTTTAACAAGAAATGGAGCAATGATGCCAGGAAAGTTGTTGAAATGTTTTGAGAACCTGTTCCTTGTTGTGGCACTGGATCTTGTGTCAACTCTGGAGGCAAAATGGAACTTAAAGCTTGTTGTGAAGAAAACTTTATTGGGTGCAGATCTTGAGAATAGCCGGTACATTCTAAGCATCCAAATACAACCTCATCACACACTGGACAGTTCCAGCCAATGCCACTTTTCAAGCACCCAAATACAACTTCATCCCACTTTATGAATTTTATAACCTCTTTGGTTGTTTTCCATTATAGATGGAATTGTATCCAAAAGTTATCCAAAACTTGTGTGATTATCAGACTGTCATTGACATATTTAAAACTTCATCCCACAGGCTGTTTTTAATTAATGAAGAACTCACATAAGCAATCATTCCGTGTGGGAGAAGATTCATTAAGGGATGATCTCTTGATTTTAATTACGGAGTGGGGGTCTGTGCACATATTTGTTCACGAAAGAGCTTAGTAAGTGTAGGATTGAGTGCCCAAGTTAATATTTAATAGTCTGCCAGTCTGGGCATATTAGCTACTCCCTCCGTCCCTTATAACTTTGCCAACTTTCCTTTTTTGGTTGTCCCAAAAACTTTGCCACTTTCCATTTTAATCAATCAATTTGTGGCTCCTGTCATTTCTCTCTCCTCTGCACAAATATCTACCACACAGTTTTTACTTTATTATTCTACGTGCCGGTCAAACTTGGCAAACCTTTAAGAGACGGAGGGAGTAGTATATATGCTCTAGCTTAACTCTTAATGTGTAGAACAATATATCATAAACTGTTAGACACACAGAGGGATAAAAGGTCAGGAGTTGATACTCTTGTTAGTCAAACAACCTTCATTTAAATGTATGACTATTTTCTTGTGTTTGTTAGTACCCGTGTGTTATCCATGTACAGATAGTTAAATTTGATGCAGAAGGTTCTTCCACCAATCTTTAGCAGGAACCAATCACCTTTATTTCTCTACAATCTTGACTTCATTTATATATTTTCATTTTCAGGTACACCCATCCCATAGACAACCGAGAGTGTCCTGTTGTCATTGGTGGTGACTATATTACTACCGAGTCAGGAACAGGGCTAGTTCATACAGCACCTGGCCATGGTCAGGAAGATTACATTACTGGTCTCAAATATGGCTTGCCAATACTTTCACCGGTAGATGATGATGGAAAATTTACTGAAGAAGCAGGACCATTCAGCGGCCTTGACGTGCTTGGGAATGGGAACACTGCTGTCATTCAATACTTGGACGAACATCACTCAATGATCCTGAGGGAGCCGTATAGTGAGTTATATCCTGTTTTAACAACGTAGATTAAGTTCATTTATACAAGGTTTTGTAATTAAATTTCCTCTATAAATTTCTAAGAAATACCTGTACAGAACACAAGTATCCATATGACTGGAGAGATAAGAAGCCTACAATAATCCGGGAAACTGAGCAATAGTTTGCCTCTGTGGAAGGATTTCGAGAAGCTGCAATAGATGCAGTCAAGGGAGTTAATTGAGTACCGCCGCAGGTATTTGACTGTACACCCTTGACTTCTGTAAAATGTCAATTAACGCTTTCTACTATGTATTAGTTTAATGGTGGACTGTCATTTGTCACTATTTCCATTTGGCTGTGAAAAAGTTATCATGAGTGCTCATTTTCAGACCTATGGATGTATGGGTTGCATATTGTTAGTATTCTCTTCTTAGGATTTAACAACTAGATTTGGTTAATCATAGATTTGGGTTTTAACGTGTAGATTTTACATAATCTCATCCGTATTCGATATTTTTCTGAACTTCGTGACTATTTTTATTTCCAGGCGGTGAATCGTATTTCTGAAATGCTTTCTAGCCACTATGATTGGTGTATATCCCGGCAAAGGACATGGGGTGTTCCCATTCCTGTATTTTATCACCTGGCATCGAAGAAGCCACTTCTAAAAGAAGAAACAATCAACCACATTAGATGTAAAACTCTTCCTGCCACGATTTACGTGTATTTTATCTTTAAAACTTGAGTAATGGAAATGTAGTTACTATTTTGAATCATTAATTTGATATAAGATCTCCTTAGATAAAGCGTATAACTATATCTGTTGTATTGTTATGCAATAGTGCTCAAAAGCATAGATTTTTTTTAGGCTTGAGAAAGTGATATGTGCTATTGAAACATGAAAATATATTGAAATTTTTATTATATATTTTTCAGCAATCATTTCTCAAAAGGGTAGCGATGCATGGTGGCATATGACGGTCGAGGATTTACTTCCTGATAACTATCGTGACAGAGCATCAGAATACAAGAAAGGGACAGATACAATGGATGTTTGGTTTGACTCAGGTATTATGAGTCTTAGTCCAATGTTATCTTTATTCATCAACCCTCTTCACCAGTGATGCAAACCTTTTTTTTCCCTCAGGCTCTTCATGGGCTGCTGTGCTGGAAAAGAGGAGCGACCTTCAATACCCTGCAGATCTGTATCTTGAGGGAACAGATCAGCATCGTGGTTGGTTTCAGTGCTCTTTGCTGACAAGCATTGCAAGCAAAGGTCACATGATAATAGATATGAACGGTTTTATACACTTTTTGCTGCTTGTATAGGTTTCTGTCCGTTCTTCTTCCATGTATTAATTTTCATAGTGGTTCTATATCACACACAGTTAGACTTCATATTGCTTTTCCCAAGATAACTTATGTTCTCATGATCAATAAAAAGCATTACAGGAAAAGCCCCTTATTCTGGCGTCATTACACATGGATTTGTCCTGGATGAGAAAGGGCTCAAGATGAGTAAATCTTTGGGCAATGTTGTTGATCCCATAACTGTAACTGAAGGAGGGAAAAACGAAAAGGTAGGTTTGTCATTAGTTGGTAAATGGGCTTTAAACAATCTCAGTTCCTGGATTGTAATTTGCAAGTTTTTTTACACCTCATATTTGACAGGAAGCACCACCCTATGGTGCTGATGTTTTGAGACTATGGGTTTCAAGTGTTGATTATACCGGAGATGTACTGATGGGCCCTCAAGTCCTCCGTCAAATGTCTGAAATGTACCGGAAATTCCGAGGAACTTTGCGGTTTCTCTTGGCAAATCTCCATGACTGGAATGTAAGCATGATAATCTGAGAAAGGAGAAAGAAGTTTCTCGATTCATGGAAAATAGTAGTTGTTTATCTTGTAGCTTTCAACCTTTGTAAGTAAAAAATGTTATTTAGAAATATAAGATTCCCAGTGAACTTTTTTGTGTGTGGTCATTCTCTCTACCGTAAACCTTTCTATCATTTTGGATGACATGTATACTCTAGTCATTTTACAGTCCTATTTTGCATGGTCCTTTGATATGTGGTTCGTAAAAGTATCTTGTAGTAAGCTCATCCAAGTTTTTGATGTGCATTTCATTTTGCATGTATCTGAAGAGATGTTTATTTTTTCTGCAGTTCGGCTATGAAGTTCCATACCGTGACCTTCCAATCATTGATCAGCATGCACTATTTTAGCTTTCCTCCATTGTGAAAAGCATTAAAGAAAGCTATGACAATTATCAATTGTATAAGATTTATCAGGTAACAAACAAAAGCAGCCAAAGAACTATAATTATCCTGTTGCTTTCTTATGACTTAACTTATTTTTAATCCGTGTAGATTGTTCAACGCTTTGCCATTGTTGATCTCTCCAACTTTTACTTTGATGTAGCAACAGATCGACTTTATGTTGGGTGAGTTCTGAAACATTATGAACACTTACAAACTGTGTATGTTGTATGATTTCTGTCAGCCACTTCATCATTTGACATTGTTCTTACTTATAGCTTGTTCACTAAGGATCGGAAGCCTTAAAGACCATATTAGGATCATCAAAAATAGTTGCCTGATGTACAGAAGAACCCGCTGATATCAGTGTTTCACTTTGGATACCAGGCTACACCATAACACAAATGAAGAAAAAAATATACTGTAATAACCAAGTTCAATATGCATAACATGTGAATAAGAAATAAATTCAATATCTCGTAAACATACATCAGTACACAATTTTAAATGGTGAAATTGGGAGTTTGTCTTCCATAAAGAATATCAACAAATAACCTAAATCTAGTTATCTCACTTGTTGGTCTCAACAATGGTGAAAAATTTCTAGCAACTCTGTGGCACCTAAATCTGGAAGGTTAAAATTTCTGTAGAAACAATGTCCTCTTGAACCCAAATATCTCTGAAAAAGTGCAGAAATACAAGGGTTGTGAAATAGTTACAACGTGTGTATTGCTGATAGAGAGCAAGAAGAATCTGGGGCGGGAACGGGATTGGGCTCACTTCCGTGGGCCGGTTCTGGGCTAGGGATTATAGTTTTATTTATTTATAAAATTTATCATTATGTTTTAGTTGGGCCTATTATTAGTAGAGTGGTTAGTTAAGTTAAATTGGGCTTAATTAGGGTTTAAGTAATTTGGGCTTGATTAGGGTTTCTTGTAGAAGCTATTTATACCCCTTGCTAGGGTTCATTCTGATTATCTGGGAATAAATGTTGGTTTAGCCTTTTGGCTTTGGGCAACGGTATTTTTATCGTTGATTATCTGGGCAACGATTCATCCCGTTGATTTTATTTTTCTGCTACACATTAATTGGTCCGACCTGCCGGATCCCGTCCTGCCAAGATGACCAGAACTCAGAATGAACGCTTGACAGAGATGGAAAACGAGCAGAACCGAATGGGAGAGGTAGTGGCCCGACTGGGGGCTGAGCAAACCCGGATGGCACTCGAGCAGAAGCGCATGAACCAGACGCTCGAAGACCACGATGCAAAGCAGGTGGAGATCGTCGCCTCCCTGGCAGCGCTGACGCATGCCCTTGTGCCGCCAGTGTCGCCGGAAACATCCACGGCGGCCGTCGGAAGCACAGCAGAGACCGCGCCCAGCGGCGAAGGGTTGCCGCGCACCACAACTCCAACCAGCGGAGAAGGTTTGCCGCACGCCACAACTCCAACCAGCGGCGAAGGTTTGCCGCGCATCACAACTCCGACCTTGTTGCCTGCGTTTGATGGCGCAGATCCCATCGGATGGGTGGCCAGAGCTGAGCAGCAGTTTGAACTTCATCAAACCCTACCTGGAAGCAAAGTGGCAGCAGCTACTGTAGCCATGGAAGGGGCTGCCCTGTACTGGTTGACCTGGTTGAGGGCACGTAAACCGGGCCTGACTTGGGAGGAATTCACAGATGCACTGGTGGCCCGTTTTGATTCACGGTTCAAGGGCAACCGATTTGAACGGCTGTCCGGGGCCAAACAGTTGGGAACCATAGAAGAATACAATAACCTTTTTGTGCAGTTGGCCAGTCAAGTTCCTGGACTGTCCGATGATCACTATTTGGGGTATTTCATGAACGGGCTGAAGGGACCGATTCGGGGATCCTTACGATTGCTGCGGCCAAAAAGCCTGGAGATTGCAATGGAGTTGGCCAAAGATATTGAGCACAACTTGTCCTTTCAAGAGGGAGACTGGGAAAGTCAACCCTTCGACACAAACTTGCATTCGAGCAGTTTTTTGCGCCCAACTGGCAGTAAAAGCACGGCCATAGGTGGTGGCAGCTTAAGAGGATCGAATTGTAGCTTTGCTAAAGACATTGGGCAGCCTCTGGGGACAAAGTCAGGGCTGTCCGGGCAGCTCACGACACGCTCACAGTTCACTCGACTTCCGCCGAAAGAGTTTGCAGAATTGCGGGCGAAAGGATTATGCTTTAGGTGTAAGAAACCATTTACACCAGGGCATGACTGCCCCTTTAAGCAGTTGCGGGTAATGATAGCTGAGGAGGATGAGGAGTTGGACCTCCAGCAACATGAGTACTGTGAAATAACTGGTCGGGAAAAGGTTCTGGAAGACGATGAAGGATATTTTCCAGTCTATTCCATGGTTGGAAATTTCAGTCCTCGATCTGCGAAATTACAACCTTGAGGACAAGGTTATTTGAAGGGGGATGGATTGATACAGAGCAAGAAGAATCTGGGGCGGGAACGGGATTGGGCTCACTTCCGTGGGCCGGTTCTGGGCTAGGGATTATAGTTTTATTTATTTATAAAATTTATCATTATGTTTTAGTTCGGCCTATTATTAGTAGAGTGGTTAGTTAAGTTAAATTGGGCTTAATTAGGGTTTAAGTAATTTCGGCTTGATTAGGGTTTCTTGTAGAAGCTATTTATACCCCTTGCTAGGGTTCATTCTGATTATCTGGGAATAAAAGTTGGTTTAGCCTTTTGGCTTTGGGCAACGGTATTTTTATCGTTGATTATCTGGGCAACGGTTCATCCCGTTGATTTTATTTTTCTGCTACACATTAATTGCCCTTGGTATCTTTTGGTTGTTGGATGTTTTGTTTACTGGGCCGAAATTTAAACAACAAAAACAGGTCTTTGCGGGTAATCTGGTAACAAACACCAACAAAACCCACCGGAAAGACATGAGTAATCACAGTCAAACACATACCAGCATCATTATCTTTTACTCCATTTCATTATTCAAAAGTTATGTCCAATTCGTTGCTCTGCCTGAGTAATTGAAGTCGCCTCCCTGTGTGCTTAGTTTCTTCATCCTTGGTTCAAGCCATTTTTTTCTCTGCTCTATCACAAGGGTTTTCTTTAGGCCAATGGAATGTATGTTAATTGTAGTGAGGAAACGTTAAGGACGGGTAAATTTAGACCCACTTTCAACTTTTAGAGTTTTTTTTGTTCCAAATAGCAGAATAAGGGTATATTTCTTCTCACACATATAGTACACGGGTATATCTGTTCCATTTCGTATTGAAAATCATGAACACATTTTCAAAAATTGTGGTTGGCAGGTGGAGGTCCTTTCATCTATGGAAGATGAACAGATTGAAGGAATACCATACACAGGAGAGTATGTTATTCCAGGAGGAAGTAAAGTCTGGATTGGCGTCTCCCCGGCAAAGGGAGAGAAATGTGAAATATGCTGGAACTATTCACCTCAAGTTGGTTCCTTTGATGATCATCCTTCACTTTGCAGCCGATGTCATGATGTCGTCACCAAATAGGCATCTCCCTGTGCTGAGTACACGGCAGAGGAAGTTACACAAGCCCTAGTGCAATGAACATGAGTGATATGGGGATTATACCGTGCTTCACAACGAAGCCCTTTTGCAATTTTTTACTCCGTATTATTTAGGAAGCAGAAACAATCTTGTCCCAATTTTGATTTATGTAGTCTTACAATGTTATATGTGGTCACTAACCTAATAATGACCTCAATTGTTGAAATTCCTCTTAACAAAATTGTCACCAATCCAGGTAAATAGTTTGGTTGACGAATTACTTTTAAAAAACATACTCCGTACTTTATTTCATGAGTACTGATGGAGCGAGGAATCTTTGTGTTTTACCTATGAGTCTAAGACTAATTTGGATTTTAGCAGAAAACAAGCCATTTGGGCAATAAGTCACACTTATAACATATGATGCAGTCCCAAACATTGGAATGAGTTAGATTAGTCAAATATAAAGATACAGAGTGATATAAGGCGTTGAGTGACTCGTCCTATCACTTCCACTTTTTAAATGTATGACTATTTTCTTGTGTTTGTTAGTACCCGTGTGTTATCCATGTACAGATAGTTAAATTTGATGCAGAAGGTTCTTCCACCAATCTTTAGCAGGAACCAATCACCTTTATTTCTCTACAATCTTGACTTCGTTTATATATTTTCATTTTCAGGTACACCCATCCCATAGACAACCGAGAGTGTCCTGTACTCCTGTTGTCATTGGTGGTGACTATATTACTACCGAGTCAGGAACAGGGCTAGTTCATACAGCACCTGGCCATGGTCAGGAAGATTACATTACTGGCCTCAAATATGGCTTGCCAATACTTTCACCGGTAGATGATGATGGAAAATTTACTGAAGAAGCAGGACCATTCAGCGGCCTTGACGTGCTTGGGAATGGGAACACTGCTGTGATTCAATACTTGGACGAACATCACTCAATGATCCTGATGGAGCCGTATAGTGAGTTATATCCTGTTTTAACAACGTAGATTAAGTTCATTTATACAAGGTTTTGTAATTAAATTTCCTCTATAAGTTTCTAAGAAATACCTGTACAGAACACAAGTATCCATATGACTGGAGAGATAAGAAGCCTACAATAATCCGGGAAACTGAGCAATGGTTTGCCTCTGTGGAAGGATTTCGAGAAGCTGCAATAGATGCAGTCAAGGGAGTTAATTGGGTACCGCCACAGGTATTTGACTGTACACCCTTGACTTCTGTAAAATGTCGATTAACGCATTCTACTATGTATTAGTTTAATGGTGGACTGTCATTTGTCACTATTTCCATTTGGGTGTGAAAAAGTTATCATGAGTGCTCATTTTCAGACCTATGGATGTATGGGTTGCATATTGTTAGTATTCTCTTCTTAGGATTTAACAACTAGTTTTGGTTAATCATAGATTTGGGTTTTAACGTGTAGATTTTACTTAATCTCATCCGTATTCGATATTTTTCTGAACTTCGTGACTATTTTTATTTCCAGGCGGTGAATCGTATTTCTGCAATGATTTCTAGCCGCTATGATTGGTGTATAACCCGGAAAAGGACATGGGGTGTTCCCATTCCTGTATTTTATCACCTGGCATCGAAGAAGCCACTTCTAAAAGAAGAAACAATCAACCACATTAGATGTAAAACTCTTCCTGCCACGATTTACGTGTATTTTATCTTTAAAACTTGAGTAATGGAAATGTAGTTACTATTTTGAATCATTAATTTGATATAAGATCTCCTTAGATAAAGCGTATAACTATATATGTTGTATTGTTATGCAATAGTGCTCAGAAAGCATAGATTTTTTTTAGGCTTGAGAAAGTGATATGTGCTATTGAAACATGAAAATATATTGAAATTTTAATTATATATTTTTCAGCGATCATTTCTCAAAAGGGTAGCGATGCATGGTGGCATATGACGGTCGAGGATTTACTTCCTGATAACTATCATGACAAAGCATCAGAATACAAGAAAGGGACAGATACAATGGATGTTTGGTTTGACTCAGGTATTATGAGTCTTAGTCCAATGTTATCTTTATTCATCAACCCTCTTCACCAGTGATGCAAACCTTTTTTTCCCCTCAGGCTCTTCATGGGCTGTTGTGCTGGAAAAGAGGAGCGACCTTCAATACCCTACAGATCTGTATCTTGAGGGAACAGATCAGCATCGTGGTTGGTTTCAGAGCTCTTTGCTGACAAGCATTGCAAGCAAAGGTCACATGATAATAGTGTTTTCACTTGCTTCCATCATGTATCATTTATTTATAGATATGAACGTTTTTATACACTTTTTGCTGCTTGTATAGGTTTCTACCCGTTCTTCTTCCATGTATTAATTTTCATAGTGGTTCTATATCACACACAGTTAGACTTCATATTGCTTTTCCCAAGATAACTTATGTTCTCATGATCAATAAAAAGCATTACAGGAAAAGCCCCTTATTCTGGCGTCATTACACATGGATTTGTCCTGGAAGAGAAAGGGCTCAAGATGAGTAAATCTTTGGGCAATGTTGTTAATCCCATAACTGTAATTGAAGGAGGGAAAAACGAAAAGGTAGGTTTGTCATTAGTTGGTAAATGGGCTTTAAACAATCTCAGTTCCTGGATTGTAATTTGCAAGTTTTTTTACACCTCATATTTGACAGGAAGCACCACCCTATGGTGCTGATGTTTTGAGACTATGGGTTTCAAGTGTTGATTATACCGGAGATGTATTGATGGGCCCTCAAGTCCTCCGTCAAATGTCTGAAATGTACCGGAAATTGCGAGGAACTTTGCGGTTTCTCTTGGCAAATCTCCATGACTGGAATGTAAGCATGATAATCTGAGAAAGGAGAAAGAAGTTTCTCATTTTTCATTTTTCATTTTCATTTACCCCAGTGCCGCAAAGGCTCCCACCTACAGTGGGGTAAGGGGGGGTCGGATGTACGCAGTCTTACCCCTGTATTAAAGCACAGAGAGACTGTTTCCGGATGACCCATAGTGAAAATCCCGTCCAAAATTGCATGGACTGACTGCTGCTTCATAACAAAGAAGCGCAGACAGTTTAGTGAGCCATTTTGCTTTATTCCATCATAATCTCAAGCCAAATAATAATAAATCTTTGGCTCCATTGCAAATGATGGAAAAATTGATACTGTAATAAATATTACTCCCTCCGTCCCGAAATAAATTTCCCAGTTTCCTTTTCGGTCCGTCCCGAAATAATTGTCCCGTTTCTATTTTAGGCAACCTAATACTCCAATACTCCCTAAAATACCCTCACCCACAAATACCCATCATTTCATCCTTATACGGAGTACCTCTCTCCTCTCTCCCACTTTACCCGTCGCTTCTCCTTTCCTCTCGTCTGACCCTTCATCTCTCATCTCACCTTCCTCAAGCCAACCGCTCATCTCACTCTGTGTAACCCTTGAGAAAAATCATCTGAATTCTCCCTCGAACCTTCAGGTGTGACTGAATACGAAATCTGTCCAAACCCTAATCTTCATCTGTACGACACTTGTCAGGTTTTTGAGGCTTCATCTCCGACCTCCGTCACTGTCATATCCATGGACTCATCTGAGCCAAAGGTTTGCTCCGTCGTTGCCGATACTTCTGATGATTTGTTCATGCAACCCTTTGCACCCAACCAATCTAATTCGTCTGTCAAAATCAACGAATCTAGGGTATAAGAATCCCAAGAGAAAGAAGTTTCTCGATTCATGGAAAATAGTACTTGTTTATCTTGTAGCTTTCAACCTTTGTAAGTAAAAAATGTTGTTTAGAAATATAAGAATCCCAAGAGAACTTATTTGCGTGTGGTCAATCTCTCTACCGTAAACCTTTCATTTTGGATGGCATGTATATTCTAGTCATTTTACAGTCCTATCTTGCATGGTCCTTTGATATGTGGTTCGTAAAAGTATCTTGTAGTAAGCTCAACCAAGTTTTGATGTGCATTTCATTTTGCATGTATCTGAAGAGATGTTTGTTTTTTCTGCAGTTCGGCTATGAAGTTCCATACCGTGACCTTCCAATCATTGATCAGCATGCACTATTTCAGCTTTCCTCCATTGTGAAAAGCATGAAAGAGAGCTATGACAATTATCAGTTTTATAAGATTTATCAGGTAACAAACAAAAGCAGCCAGAGAACTATAATTATCCTGTTGCTTTCTTATGACTTAACTTATTTTTAATCCGTGTAGATTGTTCAACGTTTTGCCATTGTTGATCTCTCCAACTTTTACTTTGATGTAGCAACAGATCGACTTTATGTTGGGTGAGTTCTGAAATATTATGAACACTTACGAACTGTGTCTGTTGTATGATTTAGCATATATTTACCAAGGTCCTTTAATGGAATGTTCGAAAGAAATAACTAGTGAACTAATAAGTAAGAAATGTTAAGTGGTTGCTTGATCAGATTTCTACTTCGAGAATTAGTTTTCACCTAATGGACTAGCTAGTAGCTTGCTTTTTTGTAAATCCTAAACACTCCATATTATGCGTCCAAAAGGTTTGTTCTTCTGTGGATGACATGTTTTCTTCTTCTTTTGTGGTTGCTTATAAAATTTGCATACTTGTTTAAATCGTTAATTTGCAGTGGGAGTAGTAGTTTTGCAAGAAGAAGTTGTCAAACTGTTCTTGCTACTCATTTACTTTCAATTACACGGATAATTGCTCCAATTTTACCCCATCTGGCTGAGGATGTCTGGCAGCATCTTCCTTTCCCGTATAATACTGAAGATGGAAATGTTGCCAAGTTTGTCTTCGAGTCAGGCTGGCCAGTAACAAATGAGAAACATCTTTCCTTCCCAGTGGAAGACATCGATTTCTGGGGCAAAGTTCTTGAGGTACCACTTTATAATCTTTATATGTGACCGATAGAAGTGTTATGAAACAGCATTGCAGATTATGATTGTCTTTTGATTAAATGTGTTATCGAGATCCAATGTGGGGGTGAGGGGGGTCAAAATCAAATAGCTTACAACTGTTGATGGGATTTACCTTAGATATGTATTACTAGTATTATACTAAGTTAATTGAACTACCTTTATTATCAGCTGAGAACTGAAGTGAACAAAGCACTCGAAGTTGCACGTGCTGGGAAGTTGATCGGTGCCAGTTTAGAGGCAATGGTCTATCTGCACACTTCGGATACCACACTTGCTGTACGGTTAAAGGAAGCAGCACATGAACCCAAAAATGATGTTGATGCATTGCATCAGATCTTTATAACATCCCAGGTACTAATTGTGGCCTCCTCTGCTGGGATCTTTTCACTGGACCTATCAATTGATAATCAATTAAACATATGAGGTGCTTCTATTTTAAATAAAAAAGAATAAAAAAATATTTTGGTAGTATGGGAGTTTATTAGAAGACACCAGTTTGTTTAGTATTAAAAAATGGGAAATGGCACAAATATACCCCTATACTATGTGTGTGAGAACATATATACCCCTGTTCTATTTTTTGGAACAAAAAAACTCCTTAACTTGAAAGTGGGTCTAAAACTACCCTTCTTTAACGTTCCTCACTACAAACTAACATATTCTGTGATTTCTGTCAGCCACTTCATCATTTGACATTGTTCTTCCTTATAGCTTGTTCACTAAGGATCGGAAGCCTTAGAGACCATATTAGGATCATCAAAAATAGTTGCCTGATGTACAGAAGAATCCGCTGATATCAGTGTTTCACTTTGGATACCAGGCTACACAATAACACAAATGAAGAAAAAAATATATTGTAATAACCAAGTTCAATATGCATAACATGTGAATAAGAAATAAATTCAATATCTCGTAAACATACATCAGTACACAATTTTAAATGGTGAAATTGGGAGTTTGTCTTCCATAAAGAATATCAACAAATAACCCAAATCCAGTTATCTCACTTGTTGGTCTCAACAATGGTGAAAAATTTCTAGCAACTCTGTGGCACCTAAATCTGGAAGGTTAAAATTTCTGACCAATCTGTAGAAACAATGTCCTCTTGAACCCAAATATCTCTGAAAAAGTGCAGAAATACAAGGGTTGTGAAATAGTTACAACGTGTGTATTGCCCTTGGTATCTTTTGGTTGTTGGATGTTTTGTTTACTGGGCCGAAATTTAAACAACAAAAACAGGTCTTTGCGGGTAATCTGGTAACAAACACCAACAAAACCCACCGGAAAGACATGAGTAATCACAGTCAAACACATACCAACATCATTATCTTTTACTCCATTTCATTATTCAAAGGTTATGTCCAATTCGTTGCTCTGCCTGAGTAATTGAAGTCGCCTCCCTGTGTGCTTCGTTTCTTCATCCTTGGTTCAAGCCATTTTTTTCTCTGCTCCATCACAAGGGTTTTCTTTAGGCCAATGGAATGTATGTTAATTGTAGTGAGGAAACGTTAAGGACGGGTAAATTTAGACCCACTTTCAACTTTTAGAGTTTTTTTGTTCCAAATAATTATATAAGGGTATATTTCTTCTCACACATATAGTACACGGGTATATGTGTTCCATTTGCTATTAAAAAATCATGAACACATTTTCAAAAATTGTGGTTGGCAGGTGGAGGTCCTTTCATCCTTGGAAGATGAACAGATTGAATGAATACCATACACAGGAGAGTATGTTATTCAAGGAGGAAGTAAAGTCTGGATTGGCGTGTCCCGGGCAAAGGGAGAGAAATGTGAAAGATGCTGGAACTATTCACCTCAAGTTGGTTCCTTTGATGATCATCCTTCACTTTGCAGCCGATGTCATGATGTCGTCACCAAATAGGCATCTCCTTGTGCTGAGTACACGGCAGAGGAAGTTACACAAGCCCTAGTGCAATGAACATGAGTGATATGGGGATTATACTGTGCTTCACAACGAAGCCCTTTTGCAATTTTTTACTCCGTATTATTTAGGAAGCAGAAAAACTCTTGTCCCAATTTTGATTTATGTAGTCTTACAATGTTATATGTGGTCACTAACCTTATAATGACCTCAATTGTTGAAATTCCTCTTAACAAAATTGTCACCAGTTCAGGTAAATAGTTTGGTTGACGAATTACTTCTAAAAAACATACTCCGTACTTTATTTCATGAGTACTGATGGAGCGAGGAATCTGTGTGTTTTACCTATGAGTCTAAGACTAATTTGGATTTTAACAGAAAACAAGCCATTTGGGCAATAAGTCACACTTATAACATATGATGTAGTCCCAAACATTGGAATGAGTTAGATTAGTCAAATATAAAGATACAGAGTGATATAAGGCATTGAGTGACTCGTCCTATCACTTCCACTTTTTAAATCAAAGTCAATCTTACCAACTGGGAATAAATTCATGTATGAATAGTCATAAATCATAATGCAGCCCTGCATAATGGTTGACCAAGTGGAGTTTTTTTGACTGGAGGGGATAAAGTCTCCGCACTTCCCAATTGGTAATTCAGCTAGCCTTCGCACTAGTCTACCTTTAACTTAATGTCAATGGTTTATGGGGGGTACCTTTAACTCTTCTAGTTGAATGGGTCACTATATTTTACATATCTCATATTCCATGGTAGTATATAATTGGGAGTTCACATGTTTTTTATTTTATTTTTACATGGTTTAGTTCTTGTCCGGTTTCGATCGGTTGCTTCTTACTCCTGTTAATGTTGGAACAAATAATGCTAGTTTCGTTCCAGACCTCCAGGCCAAATAGAACTGGCAGTCCTAGACCCGAATGTGCTCTTTTCTGTGTTCTTATATAGACTTTGTAACCAACAAACAAACAATATTTCAAATGGCCCTTATCTGGTTGAGCTGGTCTGGATATGAACCAGTTACTGCCTTACTGGTAATGTTTCATGAGTGGTCAACCAGTTTGGTTTTTGGTTCTCTGGTGCTGTCCCGGTCCGGATTGTGGTACATGCCTATATATAATAAGTTACCTAATACATCTCCTCCATAAAACTTCACACTAGTGATTTAAACTTGGAGCAACGGTGCCTCCATAACTTGCTACTAGGTGTAAGCCCATTATTATATTGTTAAAACATAAGATGGGAGGACCCTCAAGACTAATACTACTTTTCTTGATTTTGGTTAGTCTGGAAGTTACTCTAACCACTGCTCAGCAAGGATGTTCATCTAATGCTGATTTCTGCTGGGGCTGTTCAAGCATTAGTGATTATTCAAATGGCAGCATATACCCAAAGAACCTCAAACAAAGTTTACGCTATGGCATTCTGCAGAGGCGACATAGGTAAGGCCACCTGTCAAAGTTGTATAAACAACTCTGGTCTTAGGATCTTGTTGAAGTGTCCTAATAGCTTGGAGGTAGTTTTTTGGGACTTGGTTTGCACGGTTCGATATTCAAATACGTCCATGTTTGGTGTTAATAAAGAAATGCTAGTGATCACGCCAACAAGTCCAGCTAAAGCACAGGTACCAACTCTATTTAACCAATCTCTAAATCATCTTTTGGATAATCTTACCTTTTTTTTTTCTCCCGAGGGGTCTGGGGGGCCTGGAGTAATCAGGGCTGAAACTCATTCCATTGAGTTTCGAACCCTTGTGTGCCTAGCGGGAATCGAACTCGAGACCTCCCACTAGGCACGGTAACCTCGCAACCAGCTGGGCTGGAATGCTTGGTTTTGGATAATCTTACCTTCATAGCCGCATCTGATGACTCTCGTAAGAAGTATGCCATAGGAAGTGCCACTGTTCCAGGCTATGAAACCATATATGTACTTTTGCAGTGCAGTCCTGATTTAGATATGCAGGAATGTAAACACTGCCTTGGAGATTCTGTCCAATCTATTCCTCAATGCTGTAGTGGAAGACAAGGGGCAAAAGTTCTTAAGCCGAGCTGCAGTTTAAGGTACGAGGTTAGTGAGTTTTATGGGTTTTCGGGCATCCAAGGATGTTCCGACAAAGCTGAATACTGTTGGGTTGTTCAGATATTGGTGACTACTCTAGTGGCAGTATCTACCAAACAAACCTCAACAACATCCTTTCTTCACTCTCAAACACCCTTACAGATAATGGTTTTTCATCCTTGTCCTCGGGAAACAAGCCAAACAAAGCTTATGGAATGGCATTCTGTAGAGGAGACATAGACAAGGCAACTTGTCAAACTTGTGTGGAAAGGTCTAGTGTTAATGTCAAGCAAAGCTGTCCTAATAAGTTGGAGGCAATTTTATGGGACTTGGTTTGCACGGTTCGATATTCGGATAAGCCCATGTTTGGTTTGGAAAAAGAAACACCAGTGATCACACCAACAAGCCCAACAAGAGCAGAGGAACCGAATTTGTTCAACCAAACACTTACTCTTCTTTTAAATAATCTTACCATAAAAGCCGTTACGGGTGATTCTCATAAGAAGTATGCCACAGGAAGTGCTAATGTGGCAGGATATGAAACCAAGGATGTTGTGGCAAAAACTGCAGTCCTGATGATTATGATCTGGATATGCAGGAATGCAAAAACTTTTGGAATGCAGTCCTGATCTGGATATGCAGGAATGCAAAAACTGCCTGGAAGACTCTGTCCAATATATCCCACAATGTTGTGGCAAACAAGGGGCTAGAGTTCTTAAACCAAGCTGCAATTTAAGGTATGAGGTTGGTCAGTTCTACAAATCAACAGGTGGTCTTGGATGATTATGATCCTAGTTGTGCCACACATTAAATAAAATTGAAACAGATGACATATCTGTCCACATTAGAGATGTTTTTTTTGGCTTATGATTGAATACTTTTAGTAGGGGTTGTGCATATTAATAATACAAATGCCCCAAAGAATTGAAGATTATGAACTAAACACCTTACTATATACGCCCTATGCCCTCACTTATTTAATTTATTTCACATTTTCTATTTTCCAATTTATGGAATCTATGTACATTTAGGTATTTTTCTCTAATGTTACCCTTAGTATACTATCTAACTTACCTTTTTGTCAAGAGGAACAAAATAGTAAGGTGGGTTTGGATGTGGGCAGTTTAGGGAAAATACACAGCATTAAAAGTTTGATTAGTTTATGAAAATCTTTGTAAAGAGGAAATTTGAATTTCCACCCCATTTTTGGGCGATATTGAACTTTGTACACCATTTTCTGAAAAATTTAATGTGTGCACTCTATTAGCCAAAAATTTGTGAAGGGATGATGTGCAAAGTCAAATAATTCTATAGTAAAATGGAGTGCACACATTAAGATCCCGTTCGTTAACCTACATTTTCAGTTTATTATTCTTATCAACCAACTTTATTCTTAATAACTTTTGATTTCACCCACTGAATTGTATTGTGTAATACCACTATTATGTTAACTTTCAGTTTTATGGTCCGATGCAAACGGAAGCTTAACAAGGGTTCGAACTCGAACCCGAGCTGAGTTTTAAGTTCGAAAACTTAATCGAACCGAGCTCGAACATAGTAGTATTCGGCTCGGTTCGAACTCGAGCCTATCGAACACCTGAAATTTGAATATAATTTATATATATTTCAAAATTTAAATATAATGAGTATGATTTTTAACGAACCAAATATTTGTCGAATCATTCGAGCACGAGCCTATTAACGAGCATCACCTAAAATTTTAAATTCAAGTATATTTATCGAGCTTATCGAGCGCTCGGTTCGAACATCGAACGCCTGACGAACCGAATACGAGCCTCGTTTGTAAAGCTCGTCGAGCTTCGAGCTCGAACCTGAACATCACGAATTCCTTATCGAGCCGAACTCGAGCTTTGGGTGATCGGGCTCGGCTCGGCTCGTTTACAGCCCTAACCATGAGTCATGGCGGAAGTGGTAATATAGCTGGGTATATAATTGCTATACAAAATCTTAATTATGTTTCAATTTTTACTGATGTTACACGAGTTAAGCTAACTTGTCTCAATTCAATAAATTTCCAAATATTGCTTGATATTATAAAAACTTGAGTAGTTATATCATCTTCTAAACACAATGGAGTGAGTTTCGGGTTCGAAACTCAATGGAGTGAGTTTCAGCCTAGATTACTCTAGTCTCCCCCAGATGCCCCCTGGAGTAAAAAAAACTAACTATTTTGGGCTTATATCTATGACAAACAGTAAACCATATACTATTTGAAAAATGAATTGTAATAAAAGTATCCAATGAAGTTCATAAAATAAAGGCGAGAATCTTTTTATTATTATTTAAAAGTAACAACACGAGAAGGGGCAGAGCCAAGGGTGGTCAGGGACTGAAAGTTCAAGAATGTAGAGCTCTGAAATACCTTCGATTAGATATATTATGGGTACCGTTACTCATTACGAGTAAAAAGTTATGACTTATGGAAAAATCAGCACCATCTTAACTTGAAATAAGCCAAATTTGATATGTGACGTTGATTATATTCTTAAATTTAAAAATAAAACACCTTATTCAGTCATTAGTTGTGTGAACATTATGATACATTACATATATATGAATACATTAACCGAAAAATTCTCATTAAACTACCATTTATCTCAGCTACATATGAAACATTTAACTCAAGCATTGTATAATAATTATCCATCATTTTGATATTGTATATAATTAAATTTCGACCCCTCTCACACATTTTGCTGGCTCCGCCCCTGAACACGAGTATCGAATAAAAAGAAAAAAATATGACTTAAAAACGTTTCTTGAGAACAATGTGAATCAAATCATGAATAATCGCTTCATAGGCAACCTTCTTTCCACTAATAAACATGATAAACAATAAGATTGCAACATATAACAACACTAAACTTTCTTTTGAAAGGATAAATGAATAGAAATATTACTACATATTGAATTCATAAGTTGAGAATGATTTATTGACCGCTGATGAGAGTCTAAATTTTGAAGCCTCGAAAGAATGAAGGAAGTTTTATAAAAGAGAGATTTCCCTAAATGAGACTAAAATAGAGTAAAATTGCACAAACAGGACTGTCATGTTTTATGGACCAAATAGGACCAAAATTGTACTGATAGACCAAATTACCCTTAATGAAGCAAGACCCATGATCGTTGCACCTCCACCGACGATTTGCAGCAATGCCTCCAGACTACCTACACCAATAATACCCTCTGCGCCATTCATCGCCACCAACACCATCGACGTCACTTACCGGCGAGGACGCTACCGCTTCCACCGGCGAGACCGCCGGTGTTATTCTCTTCCTCCGGTGAGAATAGTGCTATGGCGTCATCCGTCACTGTTAAGTTCTCCCCTGGAGGTGTCGACATCTTTCCTGTTGCGACTACCTCCTCTGGAGAGCAAGTTATCAGTTTCAGGTGAAATTGCCTTCATCATAACATCAAAGACAAAAATATGCCATTTTTAGATGCAGAAACATGTCATTTTGAGATTACAACATGACATTTTCAAAGACAAAAACATGTCATTTTTTGATGAAAAAACATGTCATTTTGAGATTACAACATGACATTTTCAGATAAACAATCATGACATTCTCATGTCATAAAAATGTCATCATTTCTCAAAAATGTCAAAATCATTTCATTTTCAAACACATAATACTGTCATCTCCAAAAAATTGCCATCATATCTCCAAAAAATTGCCTATCATGTGGCATTTTTAGAAGGTGAATGACATGCATAATAAAAAAAACCATACCAATATAATATCGAAGGACAATTGACAGAGCCTCAAATTTCATATCCAGAAGTCCCAAATCTAAAAAAATAAAAATTTGACCGGTTCTTTGTTGAAATCGAACCCTTCATATGGATTTTCAAAATCAAATTTTTATTTAGAATCTCATTGATAAAAATAAAAAAGCAGAGCACCAGGAACAAGATGAGGAAGAGGAGGAGAAGAAGAAGAGAAGATGAAGAAGAAGAAGAAGAAAAGGAGGAAGAAGAGGACCTACCTTGGATGAAATAGAAGCATACTCTTAGTTGCAGCGACAACAATGGAAAACCAGGTAGGGGAGACAGCGCGGCTGGAGAGGCGAGGCGGCAGGACTGGAGACAAACTCGGTGATGGCGACGAAGGTGGAGGAAAAAATAGCGGAGGGAGAGAAGTTCGCTCACTGCTCTTCAGACTTCAATAGTCGACGATGGATTGGGATTTTAATTATATTAAGGGCATAATGGTAATGTTTAATCCTATTTAGGGAAAATTAAACATGAACTCCTATTTTGGAGTTTTAATTATGTTTTGATCTTGGGACAATTACTTTTTATAAAACGGTTGAGATCAGATGCATGCACGGTTACACAACAGGGCTAGTCTATTCTCTATTGCCGAAAGGGAGATTCAAAATGATATCTTTTGCCACAAGTGATTCGCAATCAGTTAATTTCGTTACACACGGCCGGTGCCCAAGTGACGGCCGTTATTATATTCTAAATGTTTTTTCATTTCCGGAATTTGATTCTTTTAAGATATATACTATCTCCCTTCCTTTTTAATCGCAACATGTTAAATTTTACACTATTCACATGTTCTACTTTGACAACATTTTACGTTATTATCTTATGAAAAATATTTTTTAAAAAAAATATTGTTCAATTCATCTCATTACAAATTTTCAAAATCTGATTTTTAATATTTTTTTACTAATGGAATTAAGATATAATTACGTTCAAAGAAGTGTGTTGACAAATGTGAAATGTTGATCGTTGCAACTAAAAAAGAACTGAGGGAGTATATATTACGTGTCACTATACTACTAAAGTACTTGGATAGAATTGATAATATTTTCTAAATGTTTTTTCATTTATATGAAGTCGATCTGGCCATATTCTATTACAAGCACAGTATCAATTATAGAAATTTTGTTCTGAATATACGTATGTGTTAATATCTTTTCTCAAATATAATGGGGCACGAGGAGTAGCTTGTTAGCTTGTACAGCTGTAAGAGATTGAAAAACAGGGCAAAGAAAACTAAAGAACTTGATTAAAACATGGATATGTAAAACGAACTTATTATATTTTTAACTCAATTTGTCATAATTATAACAAAAAGCTAAGTAGACTAATTTAAACTTTTAAGTTAAGAGTAAGTGAATATACTTTAACCTTTGAATCTATTTTATTTATTAATGTATTATAAATTAAATTTTTAAAAAATATTACGAGTATTAAATTCCTCTCATTTTAAACTTTCAAAAACAATTTTTAAATTTTTTTACTAATAAGGAGTGAAAGATATTAATGATCAAATTTGTGCATTGACGAACGTGAAAAGTGGACAGTTGCAATTAAAAAAGAACGGGAGAAGTAGTTATTTACATTTTATACGGAGTGAAACATTAATAAATCATTAAAATTTTGCCAACTTTCCTTTTCTAGATGTCCCTCTAACTTTGCCACTTTCTCTTTTAAGTAAAGAATTTGTGATTCCGGTTAATTCTCTCTCCTCTGCACAAACCTCTACCACACAGTTTTTACTTTATTAATCTCTGTGTCGATCAAACTTGGGAAAGTTTTAAGGGACGGAAGGAGTATTCATTATACATAAGTTAATTTTTCTCTCCTAGTTATAAGAAAGTTAACTTTTGTTCATAAATGGAAGCACAGGAGACAAATGTGTCAGTGTGTCACCGGCAGGGAGGGTGTGACACTTTCTTAGATTGTGACATCAGTATCTCCCTATTTCTAAATTTTTAATCATACCAACAATAAATTTAAAAATAATACACTATGTCATTATTACAACTACATTTTTGGATTTGTCGATCCTTCATTTAAGCACATTGTTTCATCATCTTTCATCATACTCTCAATAATTTATATTCACACTCATTGTTTATAATTTCACGTAAGTTAGTTTTTTGATATTTCATCATCTTTCATCATACTCTCAATAATTTATATTCGTCTTTCGTCCAGTGAAAGAAAATAAAGATGTTTTTACTTGGACTGTAATTTGCTGGTCTGGTCTAGTCTGGTCTGATCTGGCTTGAACTGGTCTGTTCTGGTCTGGTCTGGTTTCTTTGTATTTTTATAACTATCCAAGTCTGATCTGGTCTGGGACGAATTATAATCCAACTAAAAACATCCTAATACTCTGATCTGTACTACCTCCATTCTATAAATTACGTACTACATACGGAGTATAAATTATAATGTAAGGTTTGTAAGGATATAACGAAATAAAGTACGGAGTAATTGTTTTACAAATATAACCTCCAAAAAAGTAAGAATAATATACGTATAAGATGAGTTCACAAACACTAACTGGTGAAATAATAGATGAAAGCATGCAGTGGGAAATAAAAAAGAAATGAAATTTAATTTTAGGAAAACACTCATAATTTTGAACAATTCAAAAAGTAAAGTGCATATGGTACTCCCTCCGTCCCCCTAATATTGGTACGGATGGGAGTGATGTGGTTTTTAAGAAAAATAGAATTATGTGGTTGGTAATGAATTGATAAAATGGAAATAAAGTAAGAATGAATTAGAACCACACAAATGTTACCAAATATGGTATGAGACACTAATAAAGGGACATCCAAAATGGAAAAATTGGACACTTATAGGGGCGGAGGATGTACTAAACAGTACAAATGGAGTATTGAGATTCATAAAAAAAAGTTGAGAGAGAAAAATTAAACACACGTTATCCCTTGTACGTATATGGACGAATCTATAAAACGGGATAACAACTTCATATCCTTACAAGCATCCCCATACTCACAAATCTTAGAGAACAAATACCTGCATGTACATATCCTTTCAAAAAAAAACATGTACATATATATAACTATATAAAGCACTCTTTGTTCATTAATTTCCGAGCTAAGTACTATATACGTAGTAATAGCTAGATATTGAGCAATTAAAAATGGATGAGAACTCAAGAAAGCAAATCTCTAATGAAGTTCACTCCAATGAAGCTCAAAGGAAGCCGAGCAAATACGAGATGGTTCATTTTGAAGGTGGCGGGAGGAGGAACTTCACCCGGCTCTACCCTCACATAGACGGCTCAGATAGGTACTTGGTGACAACCGAAAGGGTGGTTCGGGTCATCAGATCCGAATCACCCGAAATTAAACGGTCGTCAGCTCCTACCCCGCTCCGGGAGGACGTTGATGACGAGAGCCTCAAGACGGTAAAAAAGTTCTATGACCAATTCGGTTGGGAACAAGACGAATACCGCCAGCCAAAACCCGCGGCCATTACAAATGTGCCGCCGCCAGCGGCTAAACCCGCCGCCGCCGCTCGGCCCACCCCGAGCAGTGATCCTGTCACAGGAAGACCGAGAAAGCCACTACTGAGCGATGGATGGCAGAAGAGATATCCGAAACCGACGGACGAGCCAATCATTACCCCGAAAGAGGATGATGCTGATTATGTGGTGGCTAAGCTAATGGAGGAGTTTAATAAGCAAATGGGCAGCGGGTTTATTAGCTATAGTAGAGAGATGATCCCTAACCCTAACCCTAACCCTCCTCCCCAAGAAATGGTGAGGTACTACAAGCAAGCTGTGTCAAGTGGTTCGTGGAGTAGTCAACGGAAGCCTCCCGTCATAATGGACAACAATCAGGCTCTAACTAAGTTCGCCGGTGCCTACATGGAATCCGATTATATGTGATGGATTTAAACTAAGCTTAATTTCTAATTTGAAGTTTTACTTGAAAATGTAACTAGCTAGACGCCCATATGTGTTTGTGACGTATGTGTAAGTATTATCACCTAGATAAATCCACCCTAAGGTTACTTAGGAAGTTGTGATGACTGTATGATGACTTTATCAAATAAAAAGTAACATGTGTGATAGTAAAAAGTAGTTGAAAATTAAACTTGTTTCTATTTTAATATTTTGGGCCTAATTAAGATGTATTTAAATTGTTGATGGAAAGGTTCAATTAGTTGAAAAGTGTAGAAGGAATGAATTCTAGAATGTCTCTAGAAGATGTGGTCTCTACTACATACAATTCTCCTACAATTAATTGTGTGGAATTGTGTAGAATGCATTAATGGTAGAAGAGTCTAGATACTTTTGTATTAGTATAATTAGAGCTTCCCTACCATCATTTTGTATCAAACAATCAAACCAATTTGAATTGATCCAATAAAAAGAGTTCTTACTCTTTGTTCAAATATCTCTTCCATAATATTTCTCATTTAGCCTTCTAATTTCCCAAATCTTTCTTCACTTATTTTAAACAATAATAAAAATTTATGTCTATCAAACACGCACATAGATAAGAATTAATTACTCAAATATTTGCTCCAAGTGTTGTTTTCAAGTTACCAAAGAAATATTGCTATAACCCCAATTGCGTCTGTTTTAGTGTTTTATGCATGTGTTTGTAAGAATTGTAACTTCATTACAAACACATCCTTTTATTGTTCCTATTGGTCTAGAAAAATTTAAAGTGGTTTTTTTGAAATATTTATTAATTCCCAAACAAAGTTTTAAGATAGACGAATGACACAAATATTATTTCTCGTCTTTTATTGGACAAAAATATGACTAAAATTGATTTGGCTAGATGTGGACGGCTGGTGGTGGTGCGGCGGTTAAGGAGGGGGCTAGGGTTGGGAATGTGGGCTGAAGAGGTGGTTGGCCGCTGAGAAGGGTGTTGGGGATGGGGGTTGTGGCAGGGGAGGGAGAGGTTGGGGAGGGCGCAGGTGTGGGACGGTGTCAGCGGGGTGGCGGTTGGCAATGTCGGTGGTGGTAACAGGTTGGACGCAATGGTCACTGGATTTCTGCTATTTATACTTGGTGTCACTGTGGCCAGAATGAGGTGATCATTACTGGAAGGCGGTGGTCACCGGCCAGAAGACAATATTCACTGGCTCACTGTGTCAGACTCACCGGCTGGAATAACTTCAATCACATTTGTGTTCATATGTTTTAATTCAATAAAATTTAGATAAAGATCTCGTATTACGATTCTAAAAATCGCCTAATCACTAGACGGTAGTCGGGTGCCTCAATTTTGTTGTCATCGATGGGGAAATTGATTGGGCGCCCAAACAGGGCGTAAATGCTAATAAATTAGTAAAAGTGATGATACAACGCATCAATAGATTGAAAGAAAAATTGACATCTGTTTGTTGAAATTAGGACAATTACAATCACAATAATAATGAATCTAAGAGCAATTCCAATGGTATAGTGTGCACGGTGCACATATGGTATGTGAAATAAGCACATAAATATTAGTAATTAAACTATCTCTCCTTATTTGAATGGTTTAATATAATTTTTGCAAGTTTTTCTCTGCAATGTCAAGGAGATCGTCTAAATGTAGACATTGTGGTTGACATTGTTAAGAAAAACTTATCAAAATCGTATAAAACCCCCCAGACAAGGGAATAGATAATTTATTTAATACTCCCTCCGGTCCCAAATGAAATTCACACTTTGACTTCACACAAATTAAGGAAATAAATTTGACTTTACTATAGAGTACACTGTTGAGACACTGTTTGACATTGTTTGGCACTATTTTCCACTGTTTTGATGTAGATAATTTGCCAAATAAGGAAGGGAGAAGAAGTGTGAAGTTTATTTTGGACCTACCCAAAAAGGAAAGTGTGAATTTCATTTGGAACCGGAGAGAGTAATATTTATGTGGCTATATCTCATAACACATGTATACCGTGCACATTGTAACATTAGAGATGCTCTAAATGTGTTTTGAGTAGAAAGTCATCCAAACTTCAGAATTTGGTGAGAACCTTTCAGCATACACTATAGCCAAGTGTAAGAACATTCTCAGGTTATCACATGGTCGGAATGTAGCTAGGAATTGGCACTTGTGCGGGATTGTCCACTATTGGTGAATTTTATTAAATCATACGGAGTACTTCTTATAAGTTTTACCTAGAAAAAAAAAACATTTTCTCAATATTTCCGTGTTTCATACACCCTCCCTCCCACATTTAAGTTTACAATTTGACTTTTTGAGTCAAACTTCATTATTACTCAAAAATTGTATATTTTATAATACCAAATAATTTTGAATGCTTCATTTTAATTAGGGGTGGACCGGTTCCGGTTCGGGTCTGGGCCCGGCCGGGCCTCGGTTCATGAAAGGGGAGGCCCGGGTAACTCGGGCCGGGCCGGTTCACGATTTAGGCGGGCCCGAACGGAGTACGAACCACCTACCTCACCGGGCCGGGTGGCCCGAACCGGGCACCAACCGATTCACCGGGCGGTTCGGGCCCGCACAGTAGCGGGCCGGTCCAGACCTGCACAGTAGCGGGCCGGTCCGGGCCCGGTCCAGTTGGCCCGGCCCGAGCCCACTCCTAATTTTAATATGTTATTGAAGTGTTAATTTATTATAAATTTTATAAGTGTATATTTATATATATATCAATGATCAAACCTTAATGTTGGACAGTGAAATATTGACTCTAAACTTAATTAAGAGATACAACTAGGGATGGACTCGGGCCGGGTGGCCCGACCCGGAACCGGCCCGGGACCGACACTGTTCCGGCCCGGCCCGACCCGGTGGCCCGGTCAGTGACCGGTCCGGGTAGGCCCGACCCGTGGGTTTTCCGGTCCGGGCTCGGGTCACCCAAAACAAGGCCCGACCCGGCCGGGCCCGGGCCCGGTTCGGGCCAAATTTTTTTTTTTGTTTTTTCAATTTTTTTAACTTTTCAGGTTGGGCTGGGTATTTTGGGCCATTTGGGGTGGTTTGGGGGGTTGGGGGTGGGAGGGGGGTTAATTAGGAAGAGGGAAAAAATATATATATATAATGGGTTTGGCCCGACCCGGACCGGACCCGGTGGTTACCCGGGCCGGTCCCGGGTCCACCATTTCTGACCCGCCGGCCCGCCCAGGCCTAGGCCCGACCCGGACCCGAGTCCAACCCTAAATTACAACTCATACAAGGAGTATCTTATATCTGCCTCCGACAACAATAGTATCGTTCACCCAATTCTACACAACGATGAGGCACATTATGACGTCAATTAATTAACAGACGTCAAACTGTCAAAGTATGGATGGACCCGGGCCAAGCCCGGGCAGATTCTTTTTTCTGATTGTTGGGCCCGGAACCGGCCCGGGATGATACCAGGTCCGAGCCTAACCTAGCCGAGCCCGGGTCTATGTAATTTTTTTTCCTTTCTAATTAACCCCCGACCCCACCCCTCACCCCTCAAACCTCCCCAAAACACCCAGCCCTTTCCCAAGGAAAAGAAAAAAAAAATTGAAAAAAAAATGAACCGGACCCGACCTGAACTGCCCGGGCCGGTTCAACAAAAATAGGGCCCGAGCCCAGCCCACCCGCCCACAGGGGCTAAAAGCCCGGAACCAGCCATCCAATCCGGGCCCGCACAGTAGCGGGCTGGTCCGGTTCACGGGCCGGTTCGGTCCATCCCTACGTCAAAGTATTCACAAGAAAAAATGGATAATAAATAAAATATCTTACTCCTTCCGTCCCCCTAATATTGGTACGGAAGGAAGTGATTTTTAAGAAAAATAGAATTATGTGGTGGGTAATGAGTTGATAAAGTGGAAATAAAGTAAAAATGAATTAGAACAACATAAATATTAACAAATATGGTATGGGATAATAATAAAGGGACATCCAAAAATGGAAAAATGAGACAATTACATGGGGACTGAGGGAGTATGTTACAAAAAATCTCAATTTACTTGAAAACCTTTTCTAAGATAGTATTCTCTATATAACTGATTCCCCCATGGCCCCATCCTTTGTAGAACAAACTTCTCAAAGTTTGCCCTGCCCATCCCTCAAATCCCTCAATCGAGACCCAGTACTCTTCCTTAAAGACAAGCATAATGCAATGACTACAAAACGCAGTACTCTCCAGCGCAATTTCAGAACAGAACCTTACAGATGAACTATATATTGATGACTGTCCTTTTGGACTATGCAAAAGTGCAAAACAGTGCACAGAGTGGTCAGCTTCTGGTAATGCTTCGTCCATTAAACGAACAAAGACAACATGATCCTAAGCACATTGTTCCAATTCACCTTCAAGATTATGAATTATCACCTTCCATCTGAATATCTACAACTATTTGTCCCAATACAACTTTTACTTGTGCCTAGGTACAACTGTGAAAGGGTAATGTAGTCCGACCAAACTAGTTCAGTATAATGAAACAAGTCCCTCCTGACAAGAGTAAATCAAACCGCAACTCGAAACAAGCTCTTGTTATTCCTTGAACCTCCTAAACTCAAACCAAATCTCATAATGGTTGAAAAGTAAACTATCATGAGTGTGCTTCCCAAGATACTCAAGGCCGATATTACCTAATCTTTTTGTACATTCGTCTCCTCCTAGTCTCGAACAGAACTTTATATTGTGGGACACAAATATACGACCTCCCAATGGTTTTAATTTACCAGCAAATCTCTCTAACCCAACCCAAACTAGCTTGTCTGGAATATGCAGGAATACAGCACTTGCGTATATCAAATCGTACATTGTTCCAGATCCAAACTTACTAAACTCCATGTCTTCACCTCTTAGAATGAGAGGACGCTTAGATAATAACCCTTGGGATGGAAGCTCATACCTCAATGCAGCCATTAAGGACAGCTCATCTCTTTCCAGACAGTTGTACTTCTCTGGATTCAAGTACCGGATAAAATGCAGCCCAACACGAAGGGTCCCACATCCAATTTCCAACACTTCAGAGTTTGGAGATAGATGGACAGATTTTGCAAGAAATTCGAACACATCTCTCCCTCCTGCCCAAGGCTCCCCGTAATTGCTGTGGTGTTCTTCTACAAGGAGCTCACCTGGACAAGGGAGAGCAGTGTGATTATTTGCTTCCTCTCCTTCATAATGTGATATGCCCTTGAACCTAAAAAG